ACCGGTTTAACCGGTTTTGAATCGGTTTTGACCGGTTTGACCGGTCACGACCTGTTTACCCGTTTACCCGACCCGTTGACCCGACCCGACCCGTTGACCGTTGACCGGTGCTATTCTGGAAATTAATTCAGTTTTAGTGCTATTCTAGGAATTAATTCGAAATGGGTGTTATTTTGATAATTTTTTTAAAAAGGGTGCTATTTGTGTAAAATGTTTGACAGTTTGTTGACCTCCTTTGACCAGAACTTTGACCGGCTTTGACCAGCTATTAAACGACCTTTGTTTTCGACCAAGAATACCTATCCTGATAGTTTTCGACGTCCCGAATCTGATTTTGGGGTCTGTTTCGCTAAATTCAAACCCGAAAGTCTCCAAATCGTCAGTCAAATCCGTTGACTTTAATTTTGACCAATAATTCGAAATTTCGGAAGATCATACTTTATGTTTTTCGACGTCCTGAATTTGATTCCGAAGTCCATTTTGCCAAATTCTGACCCGAAATTCCCGAATCGAGCTTGTAAACCCAAAAGGCTTAATATTTTAATATTTTGATTATTTAAATGAGATTTGGTCAAGGATTTAATCAATAAAAATATTTTATGAAGGTACTCGTGTTTCACCTGAGCAAGGATCAATTAGGTCCGGTGTTATCCGTTCGTTAGATCAGCCTGAACCGCGTACTACGAGAATTACCCGTAGGTTTCCGTATATTATTTAAATAATATTTAGATTATTTATATTAGGATTCCAATATGCATTTTTCTAATTCGTAGGATCTAGCGCTGCAGCAGAACGTGATCGACAAACCCAATAGTAGGATTCCCTATCTGATTTCTTAGAGTGTGACAGGTGTGTTTCCTGACAGTGTTGTTTTACTATTTTAAAATATTATTTGAATTGTTTCAGAATGGTGATTATTCAAAATATTGTTATGACATGATACATGATATCTGATTTCTTAATAATGGTTACCGACATCTGATTACCGTATTTCTGTATATGATTTTCAAGCATGATCCATTTTCATGTTTTAATGGATTAATCACCATTTTTACTCGAATACATATTTGTTTATTACTGTCATTGGGGGGAAAAGAATTGTTGGAGGAAGAAAATATTGCAGGCTTCTCGGCTTTGTGCTCAGGGCCTTACTGGTCGTGACGGGGTGTATGGTTATGGGAACCTACACAATTTGTTCGTGACGGATGGGGGTAGTGTTCATATTTAAAAAAAAACATGTTGCATAAATCGATTTTTATTGATAATATCTTATTAATATGTTTTTGTACGCTGTATGGAACACACTGGGCTTTTTAGCTCATTCTGTAAAATTTAACCTTTTTTAGATAACAGCAGACCGTAAGCTAGCAGATTTGGCATCAGGAGAAATCAACTACTTTATTTTGTACGAACATATATTTCTATATATTTTTCGGTTATGTTTGGTGACATGTATTTTATTATCGTTTTGGACATATCTGTATTATTAATATTATGTTCTATATTATATTTAACGTTCTATAAGTTATATAAAAAAAAACCTCTGAATGAGATATGTGACCACTTAGGATTGGGTCTAACTCACAGACCGGGTCTAGGGGGTTACATTTGGTGGTATCAGAGCTTTTGGTTTTAAACACTCGGACTGTATATGGGTCCTAAACTTTGAATTTTTAAGAAATAAAAAAAATGTCACCTTATGTTATGATTTAAAGTTTTCTCGAGATCCCTGATGCTAATCTGACATATGTTTCAAATTCTTCTGTAGAGCCTTATAGATCCAACGATGAATACTGCTAGAGGTCGTAGGACAGGACGTGGACGTGGTAGAGGGCGACTCACTCGACCTTCTGTTACGATAGACGATCCGATGTCACCACGTGATCCTCTTGTTCCGCAAGTAGATCCGACTCTTTCTCATGATGATCAGTTTACTCCTATGAGAGACCCTCCCATCACTGAAGATGAGGATTCTGAGATGAATGAAGACGCCATTAATAGAGCTATCTTCCGCATGTTTCAGAGAGCTGCTAGAGCCCCTAGTAACATGACTGTAGTGGAGATTTCAAATTCTCTGGTTGCTGCTGGTGTAGTACCATTCGAGGGTATTACTGGTGGACCTCCGACAGACGTTGAGTATTGGCTGGAGGACACAGAGAGGATTATGGATGAGATGGACCTCAGACCTGAGCAAAAGTTAAAGGGGGCCCTAACTATGTTGAAGAAAGAAAGCTTCAGATGGTGGCAATCCATTTCTGGTAGTATTCCGAGGAACCAATTAACAAGGGATCTTTTCAAGACGCACTTCCGAAGTCGCTACATCGGAGAGAGATATCTGCAGGAGCGACACCAGGAGTTTCAGAATCTGGAGCAGGGTAATATGTCTGTTATGGATTATGAGGTTGAATTCATCCGATTGAGCCGATATGCTCCTAGACTTGTGGACACTGAGACAGATCGATGCTTGACGTTCGAGAATGGACTCAGATATGAGATCAGGAGTCGAGTCGCTACCCATCGAGAGAGAAATTTTGACGCCCTGGTTGAGATAGCCAAGACTGCTGAGGAAATAGAGCGATTGGGTATAGAGCACAAGAGAGATAGTGATCGAGCCCAGAATCGATTCAGGAGGCCTTCTAGTTCTGTTAATTCTTCTGCACATCCTAGCAAGAGAGGCAGGGGTGATTCTTTTCAGAGAGGCGGTGCAAGTGTCAGACCTGTTGCATCTGGTGCTTCAACAGTTCAGTCTTCTAGACATGGTGGTTCTTTTGGGTCGCAACCCTTTCCAACATGTGATTATTGTGGGAAAAATCACTTTGGAGAATGCAGGAAGAAATTGGGCACTTTTTATAAATGTGGGTCTGGTGACCATTATTTGAAGGATTATCCGGAGATACCTCATTCTGTTCAGACACCAACTCGTACTCCCGCTAGTTCTCATAGTACAGTTCAGACTCCAGCACGGGGACGTACTCAGGAGAGAGCACCTGGATTATCTAGTAGAGGCCGAGCATCTTAGAGTAGGGGTCCAGTCAGATCTGAGGCTAGACAACCTGCATTGGTTTACACTGCTAGACTTCGACAAGATCGTGATGGGCCTAATGTGACTGCAGGTACTATTACTATTCATTCAGTTCCATACTTTGCATTATTTGATAGTGGCTCTACAAATTCCTATGTATCACATTCCGTTTCTGAGGGTCTAAATATTCCCGTTGAGAATACTGAGCATTCGGGTGATAGTTCAAAGTCCCTTAGGCAAATCCATCGTGTTGGATCGTATTTTTAGAGAGTGCCCTATAGAGATCAATGGGGAGATTTTTCTGGCTGACCTGATGGAGTTACCCTTTGAAGAGTTCGATTTGATTCTTGGCGTAGATTGGTTGGACAAACATCGAGTAAATATTGATTTTGAGACTAAGAGAGCTGTTCTGAAGACCCCAGATAATCGAAAGATTGTAATGATCGGGAACGACGTGGATTTCTGACGAATGTTGTGTCTGTCTTGGTAGCGGAGAAGATGATCAGGAAGGGTTCCGAGGCGTTTCTTACTTATATTTTGGACACTAGGAGATCTCAATCTGATATTGAAGGCATCCGAATTGTCAAGGAATTTCCCGATGTTTTTCCCCAGGAGTTGCCTGGATTACCTCCAGATAGAGAAGTCGAGTTTGTGATTGAAGTCTATTCTGGTTCCACCCCGGTTTCAATGGCTCCTTATTGTATAGCCCCAAAGGAGCTTAAGGAACTAAAAGTTCAACTTCAGGAGTTGTTGGACAGGGGATTTATTCGACCTAGTGTATCACCGTGGGGAGCTCCAGTTCTCTTTGTCAAGAAGAAAGATGGGACATTGAGACTCTATATTGATTATAGAAAACTAAACAAGATCAATGTTAAAAATAAATATCCTCTGCCCAGGATCGATGATCTATTTAACCAATTTCGAGGGGCTTCTATCTTTTCAAAGATAGACTTGAGATCTGGTTATTATCAACTCAAAGTGAAAGATTCGGATATTCCGAAGACTGCTTTTCGTACTCGATATGGGCACTATGAGTTTTTAGTGATGTCATTCGGGTTAACTAATGCCCCTGCTGCTTTTATGGATCTGATGCATAGGGTGTTTCAACCTTATTTGGACCAATTTGTAGTTGTATGCATTGATGATATACTGATGTATTCTAGAAGTGAAGTAGAACATGAGGAGCATTTAAGGATTGTTCTTCAGACTCTAAGGGAGAATAAACTATACGCTAAGTTGAGCAAGTGTGAGTTCTGGCTCAGCGAAGTGACTTTTCTTGGACATATCGTCTCTGCTGATGGCATTCAGGTGGATCCAAGCAAAGTGGAGGCTATTCTGAACTGGAAGCAACCCAGAAACGTCTCTGAGATCCGTTGTTTCTTGGGCTTAGCTGGTTACTATCGTCGTTTCGTTGAGGGGTTCTCCCTTATTGCAGCTCCTCTGACGAAACTATTAAGGAAAGATGTTCCATTTGTCTGGTCTGAGGACCAACAAGCTAGCTTTGAGAAATTGAAGACTATTCTAACTCAAGCCCCAGTGTTGATTCAACCTGAATCTGGGAAGGATTTTTCTGTCTACAGTGATGCTTCTCATTCTGGATTAGGATGTGTTTTGATGCAAGATAGGAAGGTTGTCGCTTATGCGTCACGTCAGTTAAGGCCGCATGAGCGTAACTATCCTACTCACGATCTGGAATTAGCTGCTGTGGTTTTTGCTTTAAAGGCCTGGAGACACTACCTCTACGGAGAAAGGTGTTATATCTATACTGATCATAAGAGTCTGAAGTATATGCTTACTCAGAAAGAATTAAATTTGAGACAGCGTCGCTGGTTGGAGCTTTTAAAGGACTATAATTTTGAGATAGAATATCATCCAGGGAAGGCTAATGTAGTGGCAGACGCCTTGAGCCGTAAGGCGATATCAGATCTCAGAGCCTTATTTACCAACTTGAGCTTATTTGATGATAATAGTTTGTTAGCAGAGTTACAGGTTAAACCTACTTTGGCCGAGGAGATTAAGGCTAAACAACTCCTTGATAACTCGTTGCTTCCCATTATTGAACAAGTTAAGCAAGGATCGAGTTCGGAGTATACTGTGGATCAGGATGGTATTTTGTATTTTCACGGTCGTTACTGCGTTCCTAAAGATGATGAGTTGAAATGGGTTATTCTTCAGGAGGCTCATAGTAGTCCTTATGCTATGCATCCTGGTGGGGACAAAATGTACAATAATCTCAAAGAGCGCTACTTTCGGACTGGTATGAAGAAAAATATTTCAGATTTTGTGGCGAGGTGTTTGACTTGTCAGCAGGTTAAGGCAGAGCACCAACATCCATCTGGATTATTACAGTCAATTAAGATTCTTGAGTGGAAATGGGAGCGTATATTACGATGGACTTCGTTACTGGTCTTCCTCTAACTCCTTCCAAAAAGGATTCTATCTGGGTGATTGTTGATCGACTCACCAAGTCAGCGCACTTTATCGCTATTCGAGTTAATTATTCTCTGGATAAACTGGCTAAGTTGTACATTTCTGAGATCGTTAGACTTCATGGTGTTCTGTTGTCTATCATATCTGATCGAGATCCGAGATTCACTTCCAGGTTCTGGAAAGCTTTGCATGAGGCTCTGGGTACTCGTTTAAATTTCAGTACAGCTTTTCATCCTCAAACTGATGGACAGTCTGAGCGAGTGATTCAGGTGTTTGAGGATATGTTACGGGGCTGTGTGATTTGATTTTCGTGGTAGTTGGGAAGATTTCTTGCCATTAGCTGAGTTTGCTTACAATAATAGTTATCAGGAGAGTATTCGCATGGCACCGTACGAGGCTCTGTATGGACGTAGATGTCGTACTCCTATATGTTGGACAAAGTTACATGATAGAAAAACTTTGGGTCCAGATTTGGTTCGAGAGACTGAAGATACTGTCAGACTGATCCGTGATCGCTTAAGAGAGGCATTTGATAGGCAGAAGTCATACGCAGATAAGCGACGTAAGGATATCGAGTTTGAGGTTGAAGATCAGGTTTTTCTCAAGGTATCTCCATGGAAGAAGGTATTGAGATTTGGATGTAAAGGTAAACTGAGTCCGCGATTTATTGGGCCGTATCGTATTCTGAAGAAAGTTGGACCTGTTGCTTATCAGCTTGAGTTGCCTTCCCAACTCACGTTTCATGATGTTTTTCTATGTTGAGGCGATACCGTCCAGATCCAGATCACATCATTCAGGTTGATGAGGTAGAGCTGAGACCTGATTGTCATATGAGGAGGAGCCTGTTCAGGTTTTAGAGGGATGAGCGAGTTCTTCGGAATAGGCGTATTCCAATGGTCAAAGTGCAGTGGAGTAATCGTAGCCCCTCAGAAGCTACTTGGGAGACATTGGAGTCAATGGAGGTTCAATTTCCTCATCTGTTCATAAGGTAAATTTCGAGGACGAAATTTCTTGTAGAGGGGGAGAATTGTAACAACCCGAAAATTTCAAAAAATATTTAATTGGGAGAGGTTTTAATTGTGAAAATTGGTGGATTTTTTGGGACTAAATTGAGTTTTTAAAACTTGTAGCTTGTTTTAGAGTTAAGAAAATTCAGGACCAAGCCTTGAATTTACCCCAAAAAATTAGGTATTTGGTTATATATGATATATGCGTGAATTGGGTTCTGAAAATTAGAACCCAATTCCTCCCAAATTTCCATTTCCTTACCTCAACATCCGACGACGATTCCGACACCGTCCGAATTCCGATTGTCGTTTTGAAAGTATCATCGTGTTCGTTATCGAGTCAGGAACAATTCCCTCAATTTAATTGAAGCAAAACGCTGCCAAACGTCGTGAATTTCAAGTCAAAGCATCGACGTTTTTTTTAAGCTCAATCGCCTAGAAAATCCTAAATTCATCACCGATCGTTGCTCCGTTTACGACACCTCCCGCACCATCGTGTTCCTTGTGCCGTTCCGAGTCTGCCGGTGTCATCCTCGATCTCCGTTGGCGGCGGCGCGTGGGGAGGTGGATCAGTCAAAGATTCGGCCAAGTCGAAATCGAGCTCTCCGCCGTTGAAAAATTTGAACCGATCTTTGTAAGTATCTCGAAATCGCTCAAAATAATTTTTAGAAATTTTTCCGTGATTTTTAGAGCCCCGCGAGTGAACGCTGGAAACCGGTTTTGACCGATTTAACCAGTTTTTAACCGGTTTTGACCAGTTTGACCGGTCACGACCCGTTTTCCCGTTTACCCGACCCGTTGACCCGACCCGACCCGTTGACCCGACCCGACCCGTTGATCGTTGATCGGTGCTATTCTGGGAATTAATTCGATTTTGGTGCTATTTTGGGAATTAATTCGAAATGAGTGCTATTTTGGTAATTTGTTAAAAATGGTGCTATTTGTGTAAAATGTTTGACAGTTTGTTGACCTCCTTTGACCAGAACTTTGATCGGCTTTGACCAGCTATTAAACGACCTTTTTTTTCGACCAAGAATACCTATCCTGATAGTTTTCGACGTCCCGAATCTGTTTTTGGGGTCCGTTTCGCTAAATTCAAACCCGAAAGTCTCCAAATCGTCAGTCAAATCCGTTGACTTTAATTTTGACCAAGAATTTGAAATTTCGAAAGATTATACTTTATGTTTTTCGACGTCCTGGATTTGATTCCGAAGTCCGTTTTGCCAAATTCTGACCCGAAATTCCCGAATCGAGCTTGTAAACCCAAAAGGCTTAATATTTTAATATTTTGATTATTTAAATGAGATTTGGTCAAGGATTTATTCAATAAAAATATTTTATGAAGGTTCTCGTGTTTCACCTGAGCAAGGATCAATTAGGTCCGGTGTTATCCGTTCGTTAGATCAACCTGAACCGCGTACTACGAGAATTACCCGTAGGTTTCCGTATATTATTTAAATAATATTTAGATTATTTATATTAGGATTCCAATATGGATTTTTCTAATTCGTAGGATCTAGCGCTGCAGCAGAACGTGATCGACAAACCCAATAGTAGGATTCCCTATCCAATTTCTCAGAGTGTGACAGGTGTGTTTCCTGACAGTGTTGTTTTACTGTTTTAAAATATTATTTGAATTATTTCAGAATAGTGATTATTCAAAATATTGTTATGACATGATACATGATATCTGATTTCTGAATAATGGTTACCGACATCTGATTACCGTATTTCTGTATATGATTTTCAAGCATGATCCATTTTCATGTTTTAATGGATTAATCACCATTTTTACTCAATACATTTTGTTTATTACTGTCATTGGGGGGGGAAAAGAATTGTTGGAGGAAGAAAATATTGTAGGCTTCTCGGCTTTGTGCTCAGGGCCTTACTGGTCGTGACGGGGTGTATGGTTATGGGAACCTACACAATTTGTTCGTGACGGATGGGGGTAGTGTTCATATTAAAAAAAAAACATGTTGCATAAATCGATTTTATTGATAATATCTTATTAATATGTTTTTGTACGCTGTATGGACACACACTGGGCTTTTAGCTCATTCTGTAAAATTTAACCTTTTTCAGAACAGCAGACCGTAAGCTAGCAGATTTGGCATCAGGAGAAATCAACTACTTATTTTGTACGAACATATATTTCTATATGTTTTTCGGTTATGTTTGGTGACATGTATTTTATTATCGTTTTGGACATATCTGTATTATTAATATTATGTTCTATATTATATTTAACGTTCTATAAGTTATATAAAAAAAAACCTCTGAATGGGATATGTGACCACTTAGGATTGGGTCTAACTCACAGACCGGGTCTAGGGGGTTACAAACACTCAACATGCACAACTCAATACACATAATAATATACCATGAAAATCATGATGTGTGAAAGGGTAGAATTATATTACCTTGCTCATAATTTTAAGGGCATGTCCTTTCCTCAGGCATTCTCTCCGAGTACCAAATGTATATTTAAGCCTTTTTAAAAAGAAGTTATTATGGATTTTAAATATACCTAATATATATATATTTTTTTATTAAACCTACCTAATATATTATTTGGTGCCTGAGTGTGCTACTTTTACAAATGTGGTACCTATTTTTTAATCAATTTAGTACCTATATTTGTTAAGCACTGCACATTTGGTACATGAATGTTACTTTTTCAAATGTGGTATATGACTTTTCTTTTTACCAATTTAGTATCTATATTTTCCAGATATTACACTTTTGGTACCGATTATTTTGTGTAATGTCTAAAAAAATATAGGTATCAAAATGGTAATAGCAAAAGCATGCATCACATTTATAAAAGTAACAAATTTTGGTACTAAATTGATTTAAAAACATAAATGCTACTTTTAAAAAAATGACAAATCCAAGAGTGAAAATAATATATTAAACTTTTTAAATATAGTATATATTTATAAAGTTTGATATGTTAATTTCTTTTGGTATGTTAAAATTTCACATTATTTGTTAGGGACGTTATTCTAAAAGGGTTTCGCTTTGCATGTAAAGAAAAACATTATTAATATGTCAAAAATATTATTAATATATTAAATTGAGATGAAAAACACTTTCATAAAAAAATTATTTTTTCCATAAAAAATTAGGAGTAAATATTATGGCAGAAAGTGTTTAGAAGCCATTTGTTTAAACTTTCTTTAATTCATTTGCAAAGAAATTGATAGTTCATTTCTCCCGGCTTTTCATTAGTAGTGATGATTTAGAGTAAATTGTCTATTTAGTTGTTGAACTATCATCATATTTCTATTCTTGTCACTAAATGAAAAAAATTAGCAATTAAGACGGTAAAGTTACATAAATTTATCAATCAAGTTACTCACCATTAAATTAATAACGAATTTATGTTCCAATCAAATTATCTACCATTAAATCATTATTAAAGTTAATGAAATAAAAAGATAGTGTCGCTGAATCTCCTTTTGTTCTTTGAATATGGGATTGGTCGGCCTAGCCATGGTGTTTTGGTCTTTGAGGTTGTTTGTCGTGGTTTTTAAGAGGAGCTGGAGTAGTTTTAGAATTTGTACTTTAGTGTCAGTTTTTCAGTAGTTTATTCTTATTGTTAGTCTGTTTTCCTATGGCTAGAGTGTTTTTTGTTGACAAGTTGTTTTCTGGTGGATTACTTCATTTCTCTGTTCCCTATTTGGTGGGTGTGGTTGCCCAGTGGCCTGTGTTGTGGTGGGTGGTGTTGTTCTTGTGCTTTGAAGTTCTTCCAAGGTTGAGTGTGTGTCGTTGCTGCTAGCTGTCTCATGTTTTCTTTGGCAAGACTTTTGATTTGTGGTGTTGCTTATAGATATTGTTCACCGTCCGTTCCTGCGTGTGTTTTTGCTTTGTGTATTCATTGTTGGCTCTCCGACTGATGTTGGACCGGTGAATTCAGCAGCAGTTACTGTCGAGATGTCTCCTAGGCTGCAGGTGGGTTCAAATGCAGATGCTGGTATCGAGGTAAACTTTATTGAAGAATGTTTCATTATAATAATTTAAAAGAAAAGTGAAGATGGTGCCTTGTTAAGTTGTTACTCGCATAAAGCTACTGTTGTAGAATATGGGGGCTGTCGGTATTAGTCTATTCGATATACCCATAGTGTCGTCGGATGGGTTGTTTTACCAGTGAGTGGAGGAGAGCATTGGTTTAGTGGGTTTTATTAGACTTGCACGTGTCTTGTGGTAACTTTTGCAATTTGGGTGTTGTTTCTGCTAGTAGTACTGCAAGCTTTGCCTCTTAGTTTGTCGAGTATCTCCTTTTTATCCGGGAAGCTTTTGTTGTTGATTGTGATGATTCTTGATGGGTTTCTTTTCGTTTTCGCCAGATGATTCGGGTGGCTGGGTAGTCTCGTGTAGTCGTTGATATTTGGTATTATGCTTCGGTTTTGGCCGTGTCTGTTGGTAGATAGTGTTAGTTTCAGCAAGTGTGGTACTCCATGAATCAATGCTAGCCTTCGTTCAAGGTCTGGGTGCGGTTGATGTTCTGTTTGATGTGGTGGTTCGTTCCTTTGGTTTGCTGTCAGTGTCCGATCTCGGTTTAGTTCTCAATTCATTTTATGGGTTGTTTGTGTTGTATTATTCTTGAATTGATTTGGGGTTGTGGTAGGCCTAGTGTATGGTTTATGTGATGTTACAGCTTTGTGCCTTTGATACTTACCACCTCAAGGTACACTCTTTTTCCTCCATTTAGGATTAAGGAGGTTTTTTAATGAGATCTTTGAGGTGGTGTACTTTATAACTTTTCTTAATACAAAGTACCCTATTTTAAAAAAGTGACTGACACTAAGATATTTTTTTTTTAGATTTAATGAGATTTGATGATTAGGGTTTCTAGGTTTAATATAATTGAATCGAAAAAATGTTGCTTATGATGTATTCAAAATATTATATTGACATAATTTATAAATGAGAAGAAACTAAAATTTATGAAACTATTTAAATTTAAATTTAATTAATTAATATGTAAATACGAAAACTCTTTGCGTATTATCCCAACTGAAAAGAACACATTACTAATTTTGTTATTAATTAAACGATGGATGATTTGGTGGATATATTTATGTAAGATTAGTTCTTTAATTGTCACTAATTTTATTTAATGACCAAAATAAAAACACAATCACAGT